CACAGTGGGCAATATTCTAAATTCATTAAAAATTTACATTTGTGTTATTATTGATTACTTTCTTGATAATTGTTTTTTGTTTTGCATACTCACCTATTTTTAGGTACTTTTAATAAAACAATACTTACCTACTTTTTATTGTTAGGTCGATTAATGCTCATGTAGCTATTTTTTAAGTGTTCCACAAAATCATGATAACCGAACTGTCAGTAATCAATGATTTGTACTTAAGTACCTACTAACCATCAAGTTTTTAATGAATGTCGCCCACCTATTTCTTTTTTTCTTGGATGAATAATATCATTGTTTTAAGAGGGAAAAACAATGATGATTTATAGGATAGGTCAGTGACATCCAGTGGGTCTCTGGTTTTGTAAATAAATTTCAATATTTTTTTTATTAAAAAACAGTGGCTCTAATGCAAAAATGATAGAGGAAAAACTTTCTTGTTTTGGCGTGTACTATCATCTCCCCAAAGTATGACAATTTTTTAGATGACACCCTGTATAAACTTAAATTTTTCGGTTTTTCAACATAAACGCTTGTTACCTACCTATATTAGGGTATTGATTTTTTACATTTTAAACTTATACAGGTTAATTTTGTTGCACAGGGTGTCCTTAAGAGGTCTGTACAACGTTTGACGACTCCTGGCGTCAAAATAGATCGATTCAAGCCAAGTTATTTATATCCTAAATTGCTTTGTTAAGCCAGTAAAGGGCGTTAAATATTGTTTGAATTAGATTTTTTAATTTATTGAAAACATGCTTATTGATTTTAGTAATTTTGTGTGTATAAACCCAGGGCCGTTCATAGCCCCTCGGCCGCCTTTGTGCAAATATAAAAACGCCGCCCCTTTGTTTAAAAAATAAACCTTATATATAAATACCTACTTATACATTTAATAGTATGGGCAGTAAAGCGTTTTGCGCAAGCACCCTGCGTGCGCCAAACGCTGTACTGCCTAAACTAAGCCTGGCTTAGTAAGCCATAACGCATTAAACGGCGGCCGCCCTACCACCTTATCTATAACGTGAGGGCTTTCCGTATATTTTTTGTAAATTCGCAGCAGTACAAAAAACCAATGGTCGGTAATATAATTAATACTACGAGTGTAGAGGTTTTATGTTTAAAGCATAACTTGAATAAAATGCAACTTTTTTTTTTTTTTTTTGGAATATTTATATAACCAAATAGCAAAGTTTTACTCTTTCTGCAGACGGCTTGCGGCCGCCCCTTTGTTCGGCCGCCTTTGTGCTGGCACAACGTGCACACCCCTAAAAACGGCCCTGTATAAACCCCACTCTACTATACACTGTATAGTAGAGTGGGGTTTATTTTTGCAATGTCAGATTTTTGTAGTTTCCGGCCTTTTTTCCAATTTTTTAAAATTATACCTACACCGTTAAGAGTAGTTTTTTCTTCAATATTTCGAATACACACCCCTACAAACGCGTCACGACGTGACTAGTCACATCGTATAGATTTTTGGTTCCCGAATCTAAATCCTTGGTCAGAATTTCGCCATCATAATTTTTTTTCTAGCCTGAAAAAAACATAGCCTATTATTGCATTTAGTCAAAATTCGTGAACCTAGGTAATGAAAATCAGTACAAAAGTGAATTAAATTTATACGGGGTTTATTAAAAAAAAATTGTCCAAAATAAAAACAAAATAATTACTTACGAATTACATAATCGTTTGGGTGAAATTTTTTTTAAATAAATTTTCTTTGCAGCGAAATCATAAAAAAAATTAATATGTGCATTGTTGTCCTTTTTTATTCAAAAAAAATAAACAAATGAACATTTATTGTTCCATACACATTATCTTAATTTTCTTTCAAGAACCTAAAAATACATACCTACCTAGATGTAAGAAAATGTGATCGTTATTGTGTTAAAGAAAAATTCATTTTTAAGCGCGGTGTAAGCGCGGCAACGCGTTGAAACGACCTCGCTTTGATAGGGATCGCGTGCTGAAATTAACAATAATTGCACACAATACCAAACTCTGGATTTACATTAAGTATAGAAAAAAACTTACGTTTGAACGTTTTTGTCATGTTCGTTTTTGTGGCATACGGAAATCGCTAAATTGCTTCAAATTTTAAATATTAAAAAAACAAGGATTTGAATTATTTTAACAAAGATAAATAAACATTTTACGGAGATTTTTGTAAAGGTATAATGCAATTTTGTAAGAGATTTGTTAATTTTTATAGGTTACAGATTATTTTGTTAATGTTTAACAAATTATTTTCCTATAAAAGTACAAGTGATTTTAGGCAGCCAATCAAAACATTTCCCACAGATTTTTTTATCGTCAACCATCCTGCTTCAGCACATCAATGCGCATCATCAAGCGTGTGCAACTTATTGTTCTGCTTACTTTATTCTGATTCTTAACTTCTTTAAGAACTGGAGTCTGTATATTACCAGAAAATGCCATCACTGGTTTTCAAACTGAAATTTCGAAATAGAGTAAAGGGTTAAAGTTATTCTTGCAATAAAAAAACTGTATCAATACCAGACTGTCCTGTGGACTTCATGTAATCTGAATAGGTTCTCGACACCGCTACATAATCATGTAACAAGTTGTGTAAACAATAGATTATACATTATACCTTTATTTAAAAAATCAGGTTTGCAGAAAAACTTACTTTATGACGGTCCCAAACTTTTTAACACAATTCCTGATGACATAAAACGCATCACAAACAAAAAATCCTTTAAACTAAGGTTAAAACAATATTTTTTAAGTACTGTTTAAATAACTAGCCAGTAACCTTTTCTGATTTTAATTTTGTTGTTTATTTCCTCATCATATATATTTTTTTCCTGTTTATGATATTATAATCTTGTATTTCATATTTGTAAAAAAAAAATAATTTATTTTTTATATATATATTTATTATAAATATATGGATATATGGTTTAAATTGAATATTGATATAAATGATCCGCACACAAACTTACATTTAGGCGGATCACCATCTGTTATTAAAAACAAAAAATTGTACATTTTTGTCAACAAAGAATTGAGATGAATTGAATTGAATGCCGAAAACCCCATGTTCTTCACATGGGAAAATTACATTCAAGGGTTAGTATTAGGATAAAGACTTGAAACTTGCAGAATATTTATTTTTATTTATTTCTAAACCTATTAAGCCCCTAGGAGCATAACATTTTTTTTTAAAGGACCACCCTAACCTAAACTCATACTCATACTCATAAAACTGTAGGTAAATTTTCAAATTTTGAAATATCACAGATAAACGCTCGGACACGTAAACATAATTTTTGGTCGTAGATTACGAATCCGTGCTCGGTTTAGAGGTATGAGGTTTTTCTTATTGGCAATTCAATCCGGGGAGCGTATTGGCATTGTGTACTACGATACAGAGCCATAGTGTTCTGAATCGCAGTAAAGATTGACGAAATGAAACGCCACTAAGTACAATACAATCCATACTACGATTCAGCACATCTCCCAGTTTGTGATGTTCTGAATCATAGTAGAGAATGGTGTAGGGTATGCGCGACCGCAGCAGGCCATACTTTACTACGATTCAGAAAATAGTATTCTAATTTGAATTGGATAGCTTACTTACAAATACGCTAGCTGCACGCCTTATCAATAAAAAACAAATTATTATTTTTAATTGGAATTTATTTATTAATAAATATTAATAAAAACAAACTAGGTACTCTCTGCAGTTTTAATAATAAATATACATTAACCCAAAGGAAAAAAATCATTTCAAACTTATTAACAAAAAGATCGTTTTACCCAAAAATTTTGCAAGTATCAGATATAAACGTACCACAACGGATTTAAATAATATTTGAAATAGTTAATAGGCTTTTTTTCTACTTTTACATAAAACTTTTAATTTTGCAAAAACATAAACATAAAATATACATAAATAAGAAATTTTATTTTATTGTATTGTATTGTATTATATTATATTATATTTTGTATTGTGTTGTTTTCTTTAATAGACACCAAATAAAAATACATAGATTATACTTGATATAAGTTATATTTTTTATTTTTTAAATATATAAAATCCTTTGCTTTTTTCTCTTACATTTAAGAAAGAAAAATAGAAACATGAGGGCATTAACTACTAAAATATTTATAAAAATCTATTAAGGATTGTCGATGATAAAGCCAAATAAAATTTAAGGGTAAGTTAATTAACTTGAAAAATCGATAATAAAAAATAAATATTGTCAGTGAGATTTTTGGTTGGGTCTGTACTATCAATTAATTTCTAACATAACCTATAACTCTGGCTTATTACTTTATGCGTGCGGCACATAGCCAATATTTTCTGAATCGCAGTAAACTATGGCCTGCTGCATTCGCGCAAACACTTCAACATTCTCTACTATGATTCAGAACATCACAAACTGGGAGATGTGCTGAATCGTAGTATGGATTGTATTGTACTTAGTGGCGTTTAATTTTGTCAATCCTTACTGCGATTCAGAACACTATGACTCTGTATCGTAGTACACAATGCCAATACGCATCCGGGGACACACTGTATACTGGTATTTTATGAATTTTAAAATTATATATTTGCCAATTCATATGCTTTTTAAATCGTTATAATATCCTCAATTAAACTTCATTAAAAAAAACAGCAAAAAAACTTTCCTAAACTAGGTATCTAAAATAAAAAACCCTCAGGGACCACGTGTTTTGATCAATTAACCTCAAATTTTAAAGAATTTGTTTTTTTAAATTTGGAACGTATGTGGAAGGCAGCCCAATTACAATTTTTTTAAATTTATACAGGGTGTTTCTTAACACAAGCATGACGCAGGTGTCAAATCATTTTTAGCTGAATTAGGCAACATGAGGGAACTAATACCACTTTACAATAACATAATATAATATATATATATATTATATATGTTTGGTTTGTTGTTGATTAAAACTCCATATATACTTATACATTTAATCAGGTAGGTACAATTTATATTTTAGATGCGGGTACATTTATGAAATCACAGGTCGAACATGGAGAGTGTGACATATGGCAGTGTTGCCAACGTTACATACTTAATCTAGTGATACAGTGTTTCCAACATACATATCTTAAATATAACATTTATTCTACAGATTATCTTACCTTCCCCTCAAAGATCAATGCGTGGTGGTGGTTTAATTTGACGCCCATACTTTGATCTCTGTTGTGTGTTGTCATTTACACTTTGGGTTAACAAATTTTCATTGGGATTATTTCTAAGTGGACTATTAAGCAATATATTATTATCAGGTTGTTGAACATTATTAGTAGGATTCTTATCTATGTTATTTGTTAGACTGGCTTCATCTGCTGTAGGATACAATTCACGCTCGAGATATGTGTCAATCATGTTGTTTTTTTTTTCTAGAGGGTTTCATTTGAGTGACATTGCGTCTTACTACACGGTTATTGTTTTGTTTTCTTACCCAATAAGATTTTGGTTCATTTGCTTTATTTACTACTGTCGCTTTGTGCCAGATTTTGTCTATACTACTTTTAATGACTATGTCGTCCCCTTTTTTGTATTCTATAGTTTTTCTTTTATTGTGTTTGTCATAATATGATTTTACTTTATCCTTCTGGTTACATAACGCTTTGTATACATGCTCTTGTATTTTTGGTTGTAGTATGTACTCACATGTAGGCAGCTGTGTTCTTAGGACTCTACTGTTTAGGATTTGTGCTGGTGATGCGTTTAGGCTAAGAATAGGACTATTATTGTATTCCAAAACTGATTCCCAATAGTCCGATTTCTCGTGGAGACATTTTTTAAGGATTTGTTTTCCTATATTAACAGCTTTTTCAGCCAGCCCATTGCTTTGATGATAGTGTGGTAAACAGGTCATAATGATTATATCTTTGTTCCTGTAATAGTCTTTACATTTAATAGAAGTGAATGGTAGATTATCTGCTATAATGTACTGAGGGTAACCGAACCTGGTAAAGGTGTTCTGCATTACCTCTATTACTGCATCTGACCTTTTGCTTTGTAGCTTACATATTTTGATCCAGTGTGAAAAATAGTCTACCATGACTAGGTATGCATTGTTGCCAAATTCTAATATGTCAGTGCCGATTTTATTAAACCTTAACATTGGTATGTCGTGTGGTAGCATGGGTTCTCTGCGGTTGTTTGGCATGTACATTTCGCATGTTCTGCATTTTTTTATGTATTCGAAAATATCTTTGTTCATGTTGGACCAAAAGAATATTGATTTTGCTCTGTGTATGGTTTTATTAGCGCCTATGTGTCCTTTGTGTAGTGCCTCAATCAATTTTGCAGATAGGTTTTTTCATTATCGGTATCAATGGTTTGTGGTCGGTTTGAACATCTACTTCTAACCTATATATAAAATTGTGAAATTTCTGAGTGCCATAGTTCTTTTTCTGTTTGGCTATTAATTTCGTGTTCATTCATGGTGCGTGAGGCGCAAGCTAATAACTTTAAAATATTGTTTTCACATTTTTGGAACATACAACACCCTATTCCATTTTTGGATGCATCACATTGTAATACTACCTTACATTTTGGGTCAAATGGGACTAGAGCCGGTGTATTGCAAACAATACTCTTTAATTTTTTAAAACATTCTTGGTGTTTAGGCAACCATTGCCATTCTACGTTATTTTTTAGTAAGTTGACACAAGGGGTGCATGTGCTCGGACATGTTTTGCACGTATCGCCTTATATAGTTAAAAGATCCAACAATTTTCTGCAACTCTACTTTACTCTTTGGGCTTTCTAGTTCATTTAATGCCTTAACTCTATCAGTATCTACTTGCATGCCCTTTTCTGAAAAAATTTGCCCCATAAATTTAATTCTACTTCTATGAAATTGTAATTTTTCTTTGTTAAATTTTGCGTTTACCTTTTTTGCTCGCTCTACGATTGCTCTAACAGCTCTATCGTGTTCCCTCATATCTTTACCCGCGACGACCATGTCATCATGACAAACGACAACGTTGTCAATATCACCAATTTTTTTCCACTTCTTCCTGGAAAATGTCTTGTGAGTTTGATAATCCATATGGAAGGACTTTGAATCTGTAAATACCAAAGGGTGTTGCGAAACAGCATTTCCACGATGAACGTTCGCATATTTCTAATTGATGGTACCCTTCAGACATGTCAAAAACTGTAAAGACTTTTTTATTCAGTAGTTTTGCACAAATTTCTTCCATGGTCTCACCAACTCTGGGCTTTCTAATAATTTGTTTATTTAGGTCGGAGGGATCTAAACATAACCTAATTTTTCCATTTGCTTTTTCTACTATTACCATTCTATTGATACTGGCGTTAGCGTCTATTACATCAACTTTGACTATTGCATTTATTTTAATTAATCTATCTAGCTCAATTTTAACCGGGTCTTCTTTGGTCATGTCATTACACTTTATGTTATTAATTCTTTTAATTAAATTTAGATGTAAAGAAGTATGACCTCCAACTAGAACCTGATTTGCACCATTAACAATAACAACATTTTCATATATACTCTTATTTTTATACTTAATGTTTAGATTTACAGTTCCAACAGGCTTAGACACAGTCCCCTCGAATGCCTTTAGTACATAATTAGTAGGCCTTACATTTAACTTACTTTTAAAACATTTAAATAACTTCAAAGGTATTAATTATATTAACATCTGCACCCGTGTCTAACCTTGTTTTAACTTTATTGCCTTCAATTTCTAAAATTTCTTCAAACATATTATATTTACACATATTTTTGTTGTAATCATGAACATTACCTATAAAAATATCGCTCATATCGGAGCTACAATCTAGTTCTTTTTCAATATTTTTAATATTTTTTACCTTACACGCCACGGCAAAGTGATTTTCTGTTCCACATTTTTTACATTTTCTACCATAGGCTGGGCATTCTCTGGGTCCATGGGTTCTCTGGCATCTCCTGCATCGAAATGTCTCACCTGGTCCCATTTTTTCTTTCTTCACTTCCCTTCTTGGCTTGCTACTTTCTCGGTACTTGTTTCTTTTTACTACATTGATCTTTTCACTGTTCATAAATAGTTGATTTTGTGATTTACTTTGCTCACTGGTTCTGCAAAGAGCTTTGGCCTTTTCTAGAGTCAGTTGGTCTTTTCTCAGTAGGGCTTCCCTGGTTGTCGGATCCTTAATTTCCATTACAATCTTGTCTCTTAATGCCTTATCTTCTGCAGTCTCGTTTGAGTCATTTCCATTGTAATTACAACTTTTTACTAAATATCTGCAGTCTGTTAGGAAGTGCTCAAAGGATTCACCTTCTTTCTGGATTCTTTTAAAGAAATTGTACCTCTCAAAACATTCATTTACACGTGGGTTGACATATTTATCAATTGTTTCAATCATATATTTATACTTTCCTTGTTGTTCAATGAGGACTGCAAATGTTGTCATTATTCTTGCTGAATCATTAGCAATTATGATTCTTAAGACGGAAAGTTTTATGACATCTGTGGCTTCGCTGTGCCCAACAGCAACAAGGTAATCTTCGAAAGATACTTTCCAAAATTTCCATTCGTTTGCAGCATTCTGCCCTTGTAGATCAAAATCCGGAGGTAGTTTTACGTGTCCAGCATTGGCCATGGTCTTATATTCCGACTTCTCGTTTATTTTAGTTATAAACTTTCTTCTTTTTTTTCTTTTAGGTTATGTTACACCACGCCGGTTTTCAGAGCCAGGATCTTTATTTTTAGTACATACGTTTCAACAACAGTTTAATACGACTGCGTCATGTTTGGTTTGTTGTTGATTAAAACTCCATATACACTTATACATTTAATCAGGTACAATTTATATTTTAGATGCGTGTATATTTATGAAATCACAGGTCGAACATGGAGGAACGATTAATTGTAGCACCCGGACAATACCATGTTGCCAAATGTACAACTTATTTGATGACTCCTAATGGCCTCTATTCCTCAATGGGGCAGGGGGCCCAATGGGGCGGGGTCGGTTGGGTTGGGTTGTTGAGTTTGGGTTGGTTTGGGTTGGTTTCGCTCACTGTCAATCAACTTAAATGGGCAAAAGTGAGCGAAACCAACCCAAACCAACCCAAACTCAACAACCCAACCCAACCGACCACGCCCCATTGGGCCCCCCGCCCTATTGAGGAATAGAGGCTATTAGGAGTCGTCAAATAAGTTGTACATTTGGCAACATGGTATTGTCCGGGTGCTACAATTAATCGTTCCTGAACATGGAGAGTGTGACAGATGGTAGTGTTGCCAACGTTACATACTTAATCTAGTGATACAGTGTTTCCAAAATACATATCTTAAATATAACATTTATTCTACAGATTATCTTAAACAATATAAAGCCTGAATTATAGATTGCCTTCCTTTCTTCCTCCCGTAGAAGATGAACATTACGTAATTGTCACCATTAACATTTCCCGTGTAAAAATTTGTAATACTTTGTGATAATATTTTGCAATTATAGTAATAAAAAAAAATCAAAGAATAAAATATTTTCTTAACAAAATCATATTTTGAAGTTATTTTAATATTTTAAAGTATCAATAATTGTTAAGTTTAATTAAAATTAATAACGGGCAATGTTAATGGTGAAAATTACGTCAAAAATGTTTATTTAAATCGTAGTGCCAGTTATAGATTTCCGTACCGTAAGGACGGCATACCCTCCTCCCGTAGAAATTTTTAAGTTTTATCTTTCACCGTAAAGGTCTTTGACATGACCAATCACAGTGCTTGTTATGGACATGCGCTGTAGGGTGACAGCGCGTAGGCACAAATATTTAAAATGCATGATTGTTTAGTATTATTTAAGGTAGGTGTTCAGTTTATTAAATAATTTGTGTCTCTAAATAGTATATTTAGATATTGTTTATGATCAATGTCTTTCATTTTTAGAAACGTTGCTTTGTAAAACCCCGTAGTTTCCCGGTCTTGGTAAAGTGGGCGAGTCTTCCAACGTCTTGTTCGATGTTTTTTTTTCATTATACCCTACCATGGAGAAAGCAGTAGGTAACTACAAAAAAATTCTAAATACGTTTTCTTGTGCTATGATAAAACTATGGACATTTTGTATCTTAATTCAACAAAGAAATGCAGTAAACTATCTTATAAGTTAAATAAATCAGTTAAATACCTACTGCTTTTTATAAAAATGTAGTTTATGCTAATTTCCCACAAATTTCTTGATTGGCAGTTACTGCCTTTCTCCATAGTTGGGCAGTATACAACAAGCTGCCTGGGCACTATGTAATATATAAATGTTTATCTTTCATATTTACACACAATGGGTAAAACGCAGAATATAAACAAAAACAAATGTCAACCATTTTAGGTGTCATCGCGCATGATTACGGAATTTTACACGGAAATCTATAAATTGACTTTTTACAAGACGCACAAATCGTACGGGCACGACTACGGGAGGGAGGAAGGAAGGCAATCTATAATTCAGGCTTAATACTCATAAAATTGCAAAAGTAAGAAACCAATACAAAGTTGAATACAAAATAGAAGTTAAAAACAGAAAACTAAAAGCAAATGAAAATTACTTAAAACGATCTGAAAACAAGGTAGTATATATGTGGCGACTAATAAATAATTAAAAAAAAACGTGGAAATTCATTAAAAGAAAATATTTCAATAAGCTTCGATTTGTTTAATATATATTTTGTTTTTAAAAATAACTTGTCCCAAAGGAATCTACACCCAATAGGCATTATGCAAATAGAAACACCCAATACAGTATTTTCCTTAAATGTTGTGTCGTTAAGTCCGAGATATTATTTGTTCTTTAAAAAAAGCAAATCCATAGCAGATTGTTGACTTCTTAGAAGAGAAGGACTTGTTTGTAAATAATCAATTTGGATTTAGACAAAATAAAAGCACCATTTATGCCATTGGAAATTTTACAGCTTACACACTTGATTGTTTGGAGAGAGGCGAATATTTACTCTCCATTTTTCTAGATTTAAGCAAAGCTTTTGACTGTATGGATCACGCAATTCTTGAACGAAAATTGTTGAAGAATATCATTAATCATTTAAGCTTGTAAAGTCGCACCTGAAGGGTAGGCAGCAGATCGTGGACGTAAATGGCATTAAATCTAGATTAAAAGAACTTATCATAGAAGTGCCCGAAGGCTCTTCTTGATTTATGTGAACGATTTTGTTAACTAACGTGATGGTTCTGATTGCACACTTTTTGCAGAAAAAAACACGATCTTTGTATCTAGTGATAAAATTTAATAGTATACAGGAGCTTGGTGAATCCACACTGAAGAAAACCGCGAAATGGTTTTCAAGAAATGGTCTAACATTGAATAAAACAAAAACGGTAAAGTTCTTATTTATACTAAACAACATATACGAATATGGAACTGATAAATACGCGAAATTTCAAAAGCTTACTTGGACTTAATAGGCAGGTTATATTGCTCAAAAATTGTGCAAGCAAAATTTTGCTCTTAGAAACCTTAGTGGTACTGTATCCACAGAAGTTTTAAGAACTGCATATTAATAATTATGCATTGGTTCTACAGTACAGTATTATAATTTGGGGCAATAGCGCTAAAATACAACGTATTTTTCTGTTGCAGTGACGGGCTGTTTGGATTTTGGAGAGGGCGCGGTACAGGAAAGATTGTAGGGAACTGTTTAAGAAATTAAAAATAACGACTAATCCTGGTCTCTATATTTTTAAATGCCTGCTGCACGCACAACAGAATCTATCCAGTGTAACATTATACTCGTAAGAGAAAGTACATAAGAAAACCCTTTCGTAGAATAAAAAATGGCTTTAATTACTTTCTCTATGAATTGTATAACCTACTATTCTAATAATAATAATGTTATTTTATTTCACGTAATATTTTACCAATTTTTATGTTTGTTATTTGACGAGTGTAAATTTTTGTAAGTAATTAAAACCAATAAACTATCTATCTATCAAAGTTTTACAACTTTAAAGCAAAACACATTTTATATTGAAAAGATAACTCGTTTTACAGATTGATTTATTATATTTAAAAGCAATTTATTTAATAGGCATATAACATTTAATATTAAATTTTACTTAGTTAAACTCTAAGAAAAATAATATATATTTATTCTGAATAAAAACATCAATATCTAAGCGATAAATATTTTATAGGGCATTTACCTTTGAACTAGTAATATTGGGTCAATATGACATACAATGGGGTAAATGCATTGTATTAAAATATTTTTTCTGGAAATACACTAAAAAAGGCATAACAACACAATATAAATTATGATTGATAAAATCATAAAGTAGTATTTTAGCCCTCCTTAACTCAATAAAAAGCAATTTTGGTTTTCTAAAGAGCAAATCGATTAAAGTTTGATTGTGTGTAATAAAAGTTTTTACTGATCTGGCAAGTTTAAGTCTAAAAAACTTTAATTTAATTCTCTTGCAAGCATACTTTTAATTAAAATCGTTACAAAAAACCGTTTGCAATTTAATTAAAACAAATTTTTTTTAAGTAAGCATTTTTTAAATGAACCTATAAAGTTAAAAATAAATTACGTTTTGAAAAATTATTATTTTTAAAGTAGATAAAATTGTTATAAATAATTAATTGACTGGAGTTATAAAGTGTATTTATTAAATAGAAATACAATATTTAATTTGTTAAGAAGACAAAAATTGATGTCTAGACTAAACAGTTTAGTTAATAAATGATTCCCGATGAAAAAAGGTTTGAAATCAGCTCAACGATTTTAAAAGTCGTTAAGGAGATTATGCAACCTGCATAACAGTCGATGAACGCTAACCGAAAACAATTAACGTCACATCCGATAAAACAGTTACCCATGGTAATGCGGCTTCCAAATCAAAGAACAAATCAAAGAATCACGGTGTGCGAACTGGGATTGGTGCTTTGATACAGTGTTTTTCAGAGCGGACTTCTTACTAGATGGCGCTATTTGCAGAATTCTTTATACCGGGATATTATAATTCATTTTATTTATTTATTTTATATCATATGAAAGTTATTTACTTTCTAAATTTTACAATATATTGCTGTATAAAATGTAATACAATACTTTATCTACTCCTACATTGACGAGCTGTAACTTTATGGCGTTTTATTGACGGGCTGAAGTTAACAACAGTGGCTTTTCGACATTTTACGTCACGGGCTGAAGTTAGCTTTATTATAAATTGAGAAAAAGTGAGGTTAAATTCGGGTGACAGTTGACAGATGTCAAAATTTTAACAAATAAAATTGGCATAAATTCTGTTTTGTGTTCGTCGTAGATAAAGTATAGTATGCAACTCGTTTATAAACTTCTCTAGACACTCGTTTTTATTAAACACTCGCTCGCAAGCTTCGCTCGTGCTTAATTAAACTCGTAACTAAAATGGCGTTTATAAAACTTGATACATAATATACTATTATAATTTCGAATTTTTTTCAAACTATTTAACTGCTAAATAGTTTTAAAAAAGATTGAAATCTTCGAAAAGATATATTATTCGGTTTAAATAAACCACCAAAACCTAAAAACCAGAGCGGAATTCTCACTAGGTGGCGCTATAACACGATATAAAACTTTGCTTACTAGTTGCCTATCTATTTCTTTGTATTTGGTTAATAGATTAGGTGGTTTTATGAATTGGATTTGTTTATTAAAGCCCAGCAGAATTTTTAAATTTAATTATTAAAATGAGAATACTAGAAATTTGTCAAATCACGGCGTTCTCTATAGAGAACGCCGTGGTCAAATCCATCAAATATTTTTCTTTAATTAATCTTGCTTTGAGGGTTAAAAAACCTTAATTAAAGGTACATTTTTGAATTTTATTTTTAACAAGTTGTGTTTAACGTACCAAAATTT